TTTTGATTGATTTTTTTTTAATATTAAATCAAACGTGTTCCACACTAAATACTACATCACTTTAAAAGTAAAAAAAAACAATTTTTATTATTATTATTTTAAGATAATTGGGTTAATTTTTTTGTTAAAAAATCAATAGTTTTTACTTCCGAGCGTAAACTAAGGAAGTATTGTAATATATAAAAAAAAATATTTTTTCTCGACATTTCATAAATTCGAGTATAAAAAATTGGTCTCCCGTTTCTGTCTGCCTGTATATCGTCTGTGTTGATTTTTATTAAACAGATATTTTCCAAAACTACTGGACTGATTCTTGTCAAATTTTAAATGTACAGGTGAGTTAGCTGAAAGAGGACACCTCAAATATTGTTTTAATTTATGAAACTATGTTAACACAATTTACGTTTTTTTAATATATCTGAATTTTATTTTACTATAAAATTGAGAAAAAAAAATACTCTGCAAAGTTTAATATTTATTACTTTTGATACGTTTTATTTGTTTTCAGAAAATTAATTAATAGTGAAGTTAAACCTATTTTTACTTTTTTTTTTTGAAGTAAAAAATAGCAAAATCTAAAAAGTATTTCATTCAATAAATAAACATTATTCGAGGAGTCCCCTTTTAGCTGACTCACCGACGTCACCTCAAAATTTTGTGTGATAAATACTATTTAAATTTTATAAAGTACTCCTATACTGGTGGTTTATGCATCCGCCTTGAGTTTTTAACATCCAGATTTTCGCAAAAATTCATAATTGTACAATAACGTTTTCTAAAAGACCTAGTTTGATTGTACTTCAAGTACTGTACTTTTTAGTATTTAGTTATGCAAAATTTACAAAAAAAATCAGTTGAAAATCGCCTGTTTGGTAGTTTTTTTTATCCGGTTCCAAATTTCAGACTTCTGTTTTTTCAAATAAGTCAGACCTTTTGATTGATTTTTTTTAATAGTAAATCAAACGTGTTCCACACTAAGTACTACATCACTACAAAAGTTAAAAAAAAAACAATTTTTATTATTATTTTAAGATAATTGGGTTAATTTTTCCTGTTAAAAAACTAAGAGTTGTAGTTTTTACTTCAGGAGCGTAAGTGCATGGAAGTATTATAATATAAAAAAAATTGGTCGAAAGTAGTTTCAACAGAACTTTCCTCGCTCCTGAAGTAGAAAGTTCTTACAAGATTAATTGAGCAAAATCAGTCTTATCTTAGCAAGTACTAGCCCCGCTCACCCGCCCTCTTATTTTCTCAGAAGATGTCATTTGAAATCAAAAGTAGCCCCTCCCACCCACCCCTATTCCGTTTTGATCATTCATTCTTATTGGCTCTGAAAAATAAATTTCACGAGTTTTCAATTTTTAATTATCCCACTTTTCGATTATTCAGTTTTTAACGTCTTCGATTTTTCAAACTGCGTTTTTCCAATTTTTCATTTTTTTTGTTAGTATTTGCCAAGATAAAACTGAATTTGGCAAATGACATATCCTGTAAGAAAAGTGAGGGCGGGTGGGCGGGCCTAGTACATGCTGAGATAAAAGTAACTGGCAAATGATATATACTCTAAGAAAATAGAGGGCGGGTGGGCGGGGCTACTACTTGCTTACAAGACTCTTAAGAAAAAAAGCTAAACTCAGTTCCGCCCACTTTTTTTTTTATTGCACGGATTTATTTTATTTACTGTACAGAGGTAATTGAATTCTATTTTGACAAGCGGTAGAATCTAAGATTTAAAACAAAGTCAAAAGTGCCAATTCACCCGCCCACCCTCTGTTTTCTTAAAGGGTAGTCATTTGCCAAAATCAGTCCTATCTTAGCAGGTATTAGCCCCACCCACCCACCCTCCATTTTCTTAGAAAGTACGTCATCTGCCAAAATCAGTCTTATCTTAGCAAGTACTAGCCCCACATACCCGCCCTCCATTTTCCTATAAAGTATGTCATCTGCCAAAATCAGTCTTATCTTAGCAAGAACTAGCCCCGCCCACCCACCCTCTCTTTTCTTAGAAAATACGTCATCTGCCAAAATCAGTCTTATCTTAGCAAGAACTAGCCCCGCCCACCCACCCTCTCTTTTCTTAGAAAGTACGTCATCTACCAAAATCAGTCTTATCTTAGCAAGTACTAGCCCCGCCCACCCACCCCCTATTTTTTCAGAGGATTATGTCATTTGTCAAAATGCTAGTGTTTGTTAAGATAAGACTTATTTTGGCAAATGACATAATCCTCTGAAAAAATAGGGGGTGGGTGGGCGGGGCTAGTACTTGCTAAGATAAAAAGAGTTTTGGCAAATCACGTACCTTCTAAGGAAACAGAGGGCAAATTTAAATAATATGAAACAATGATAAATGACAAATAAAAACTCATCATACTGTACACATTTTGGGTAGAACTTATGCGGCAAAATTTTGGGGTGACGTCATCAATTTCTTGGGGGGGAATAAACAGATATATTTTTTCGTTACAATAACTTTAAAACATCTGCAAGATTTCAAAGTATTCATTTTCGCAATTTTGATTTATTCAATAAAATAAATTGATTGATTCATTAATTTTTTTTTTTTTGAGTCGCCCTGTATAAGCAAATCAAAAAAATTTGGATGTATTGATGAATTACAAGTATAAACTGATCATATTTTGCACACTTGAATTTTAAGCTGACATCATCATTTTTTTGGAGGGGATAAGTAAATATATTTTGCTTAAAAATTTATTATGCTTATCATAGCTTTAAAATATTTTGAAGATTTCAACGGTTTGCATGAAAGATCGAGAAAACGTAAAAGTAGAGAGTCGGCCGACGGACTCGATAAAAATACTTTCGTGTTTTTCCGACGTTTCATGACCTCCAGAGTATAAAAAAAATTAGTCTTCCATTTCTGTTTGCTTGTCTCTTATCTGTGTTCATTTTTATTAAATAGATATTCTCCAAAACTACGGGACTGATTCTTGTCAAATTTTATATGTACAGTGAACACCTCGAATAACTTTTTGATTTATGAACCTATGTGAACGGAATTTAGTTTATAAATAAAGACGAATGAGTTCTATGTATGCATCGGTTCATTAACATGAAATAATTGGCAGAAAGCAAAATAATAGAAAAAACTCGTTACATTTTTTTTAATTTACCTGAATAATTAAGAAAAAAATGCTCTATTACTTTTAATTTAACATAATTACTTTTGGCTAATAAATCAAAAAGTTATTCGGGGTGTTCCCTTTTAGCTGATTCACCCTGTATTTAAGAATTTCGTGTAAGTAAACGGTAAAACGCTAACAAAATTTTGAATAATTTCCAATAATTTGCTGACGTCACGGCAAAATTTTGAATGGTAAATACTATTTAAATTACTCCTATACTTGTGCTTTATGAATCCGCCTTGAGTGTTTAGAATCCAGATTATCGCAAAAAAAATCAAAATTGTACAATAACGTTGCATAGAAATGTAAATACATAATTATGTGATTTTATTTTTGTAGTTAATTTTTACAAATCACTTTTAATTTCGCAGAAAGTTAAAATAATTTTTGTTTTTTAATGGAACTACCATGTTTTTAACTGATTCTTTCCAGTATTCAGTTACCCAGAATTTACAAAAACGTCCTGTTAAAAATCGTCTGTTTGAAAAAAGAAGTTGAGGTCATTTCCGAAAAACCAAAATGACGTAACGTTAAGATTATAGTGATTTTCAACCTTTTTTTTAATATACGGTTTTAAATTTCAGACTTCTACTTTTTCAAATAAGTATAAAAAGTACATCACTTGAAAATTAAAAAAAAACATTTTTTTTAAGTAAATGGGTTAATTTTTTTTTTTTTTTTTTGTAAAAATTAAGAGCTATGGTTTTTTTCTTCTCGAGCGTAAGCTAGGGAAGTATTGTAATATAAAAAAATACTTTCATGATTATTTTAAAAATAAATTTCATGGCCTACTTGAGGACTTTTTTTCATATGTCAATAAGAACGGCATCTAACCAGCCATGGAACTAATTAAAAAACCTGCAGTGGTAGCACTATTGTTTTCCATTGAAGTGAAATTTGTATTGTCGGTGTAATACAAAAAAAAATGCGTAAAACAAAACATTCAATTTTTGTTATCGATACACATGCCAAAGGAATCAATTTATATGATCACACAATTTCGAGCGTTATCGAAAAAAAAACTAGATTCCCACTTTAGTATCTCAGTCGTTTTAAGTTTGTAATTTAGAACAGTTAATTATCGTAAAGAGCTCTTTAAAATAATTTAGAAAATATCGTCTTTAGTTTTTCGGAAACGTCAAATTTTTCTTTAATAAAAAAATATTTGTTTCCATAAATTATTTTCCACTAGTTTCGGCTGTTATGTAAGACATTTTATTATCCAAAGTTACTATCTAAATAGAGTCAAGCAAAAAATGGTGATTGATCGCATTTAATTAAATTTCCCAGAAAATTTACATTAAATAATCAATTTATATGATCACGCAATTTCGAGTGTTATCGAAAGAAAAAATACATTACCAGTTGCGATGCCGCAAAAAAATCATTTTGTAAAATTCATGTCAAATATTATACCGATGAAAAATAAAAAAAACAGTTCTGTATAACACACTTCAAAAACAGACCACCTTCTGTTTGATAAAACAAGTTGATGTCATTTCCAAAAAAACTGAAAAAGTGATTTTTTAAACTCACTCCAGTTGTGAAAAATTTTATTTACAATATCAAATGTTAAACTTTGCCACCTCTTTCAAATAACGGATTCAAGTAATCTGCACCACTGGCGCTGCATAAATTTGACATTTGTCGGATTCCTAAATAGTCAATTCCATCATCAAACTGAAAATTACCCACATCGAGCGCATTTCACCATGACTGCAATAATGTCCACGATGAGCTATTGACCCGACCTTTAATATAGCAATCGAAGCTATTTCCGAGAGGCGGCAAACTCTAGTCCGACCTACACCAACTTAACTAACACACGACACACATTTCAATTTTTTTGTTTTTCAGGAAGCTGAGACCTTCGCCACCGAGCAAAACTTCGGCACGAAAGACTTAAAAGAAATCGCCCTCAAAATCTGCAAGCTCCCCAAGCAAAACGAGGCCAGATCCCGGGTGTGCGTCATCACCAACGGCCACAACCCGGTCATTCTGGCCCGCGACGGAAAGATCACCGAGTATCCGGTGGACGTCCTCACCAGAGAGCAACTCGTGGATACGAACGGGGCCGGTGACGCGTTCGCCGGCGGTTTCTTGGCGCAGTACATACAAGAGCAGCCTCTGGACGTCTGCGTGCGGTGCGGGGTTTGGGCGGCCACTCAAATTGTGCAAAGGAGTGGATGTACGTTTAGCGGAAAGGCCACCTTTCAGCCCTAGCAGTAGGAGTGGGGGCTGGGTGTACTTAGTTTTTTATATTGTGTTGTTATAATGGGAATAAAAGACGAGGTTTTCTTGTTTACGAGAGTAATTTTAAGGTTTGGGTTTTAGGCGAGGTCGTGGGTAGAGCGATTAGGGTTGACCTTAGCACGTGGGGAGGTCACGTGCACTGCAGCTATAAATATATGAATAAGTAGAATGAGAAATTTGCAATTTAGAAGAGGGACGTCAATTATTTAAAGTTATTTTGTAACAAATGAATGTATTGTGTGTATTTTAACACTGAGTGACACCAGCTAGGTATTCAAACACGTGTTTTTTAACATTTATTAATAGTTAAAATTATATTAAAAAATATTCATCACGGCGAAACTTTTCAAATATTCTGTCGAGTTCACTGTTTTTTAAAACTGCAGGTTATTTTTGTTTTTACTTAGTTTCTGAAATGGTTAATTAAAGTAGGGAAAACTGTTGTCAGATATTGTATTATCCTTAAAACAATGGATCAAAAAACCCTTGTCTGATACAACTGTGAAATTATAATTACATAAAAGGGAGGTTGGGTTGCGAGTAAAAGTAATGAGTTTTGATTACATCCCTTCATAATCACTAAGGAACTTTGTCAAAAAAATGTACACCACATTTCGGCATTTGAATCACAACGTAGGTCATCTATTTTGTAAAAAAATCACGTTTCAACACTAATACAAAATTTTCAACCTCTTTCACACATTAGCAAAACTTTTACTGAGAAAAGTTATGACTTAAACTTTAAATTGAATGAATCAAAATTTTGAATCTTGGATTTTAAATATAACCTCAAAAACGTGTATGGTGGTATATGCAACCAACAATACACCTTGCGTATATTGAAATAAATCAAATGGTAAAGACGTTTGATATTGAAGTTTATGTTTTTAGGCAAAAGGAGCCATGAAACGTTTTCTTCACGTTGGATAAACTGATTCATTAACAAAACGATTTGTTTGTCAGCGCGTGAGACTAATTAAGGATTCTATCCTCTTATAATTTAATTTTTCATTAGGGATTTTTGCATATACGACATTGGTTACCAACCAAATTGCCATGAACTTGAAATTAATACTTTCAAATATCCCGTCGAAGTTTCAACTTGGATGTCATAGGCTTAGCCGGGAGGCAGACTTCATACGCACGTGACTATTCCATCTGTTCAGTAAACGGACTATAGTAACGTTTAATATTAGACTTGGTGTATCTGGGTGGGTTAGAGAGCAATTCTGGATTAGCATAAAATAAACCTACAATTAAAAACTAACATTTTTTAATATCATGTAGTTATACAAATGTAAACTATACAGCGAAATTGCTCATACACAATGTTAAAGAAACAAGCTAACAAATCTAATCACAGTGCTACACAAAATAAAAATAAGTGATAAAAACATCAAACACTTACGACTATTTTTTATTAGTTGTATTTTTTTGATTATCATTAAATCTATTGCGCTTTACAAGAAAAAAGAAAAAACAATATTAGTTCGAGTTAACAATGTGTGAAGAAATAATAACTAGTCATCTCAAAACCTTGTCCCTGTTTAAATGTTACTTAATATTAATATAGTATTCACAAAATTTACAATATCTTACAGTAGTTGTTTTCAAATAAATTAATACTCTTAATATACACGATAATCAAGTAAAACCTCCAAGTCTTCTTACTTCTTATCAAAATAAGCGTTCCGAAACGTCTGTCAATTCTTAAACATTTAAAAAATCTTACAAAATATCCAGTTTCGATAAAATCTGCATTTTGATCAGGCCGATCAAATAAACAACAAATAAAGTCAAGGTGCCGACACCTTGTATGTACAACAACACAACAGTTTATTTCTACAATCAGATCATGTAGCCTGCACAGCCTGCGAAAACCGCCGTTTAACCGGATAAGGCATGATTTCAACGAAAACAAACGAAAACATATCACTACACTCTTAACGTCTCATCGTCCCGTTCAGCGGCTGCATCAACCCGCTGTTGATGTACCCGTACGTGTACATCGTGTTCTGCTGCGCCCTCTGGATCGCCGTCGGGTCCTGGTACTGCGTCTGCGCCATGTTCATCACGCCCATTTGCATCGGTATCTGGGCGTTGTTGATGAACCCGGCCGGCGTGTTCGTGATGTACCCCGTCACCGGCCCGGGCGCCTGCTGCGCCGCCATCCTGTACCCGTTCAGCGAGTTGTACATCGGGTTCAGCGCCGCCACGTTCGGACTGACCCGGCTCGACGTCGTCTGCATGTGCTGCACGGACACGTTCGTCGAATTCCTCGACCGCCCCAAGTTCTGGCCGATCGGCGGCGTCACCGCCCCGCCCAGCTGGTTCACGTTCATGTTCGTCTGGTAGTACTTGTGGTGGTAGCCCAACACCGGCGACTGGATGGCCGACGGCGACGGCGCCAAGTTCCTCACCGTCTGGTTCTGGATCATCTGGTGCGTCGGCGGCGGCGTCATCGTGGCGTGCGGGTGGTGCGTGGGCGGCGGCGACAGCGTCATCGCGCTCGGCGGCGGCGTCATCGTGCTGCACGAGTTCGGCGGCATCATCTCCAGCCCGTTCGTCAGCTGCTGCAGCTTCGCCAGGCTGCAACTCGAGTTCCCGCCTTGGCCCGGGTTGCCCTGCGGTGCCGGCGTGGGGGCGGGCGTGGGGGTGTGCGCGTGCGGGTGCGGGTTCGTCTGGATGTAGAAGTTCGTCCCGCTGGTGACCGCGCACGACGGCGACGGCGCCAGCTTCTGGTGGGTGGCCCCCAGACTCTGCTGGGCGCTCATCCGGTGCTGGATCACCGTCGTCATGGGCACGCTTACGTACGTGCTGGTCCCCTGCGCCGGGAAACCCTGCGTGCTCACCGCCACCGGGATGTAGTTCCCGGAGTTGATGACCGAGTGGTGGGGGTGGTGCGGGTTGTGGTGCATGGGCGACGCGCTCAGTTGGGGGTGGTGGCTGTAGCTTTGGTGCATGGCGACCTGGTGGTGCATGTGGTGCTGCTGCTGCATCTGGTGCTGCACCTGCTGGTTCTGGGTGGGGCTGGCCAGCATGTGCTGGTGGGTTTGGGCGGTCGGGGGCGTGGCGCGCTGGCGGTTCTGCTGTTGCTGCTGCTGCGGCGGCGGCGGCTGCTGCTGCTGGACGGAGGCGTGCTGTTGAGCGGGAGGTGTGAGTTTCATGCTGGCTTGTTGCTTATTGGTCGACGGAGTACTGGAGCGGTTACGGGGCTGCTGCATCTGACGCTTGCTCGAGCCGGACTGGTGGGGCGTGGTCTGCTGGGGCATCTGCATGGGGGCGGCGTTCACGTTCGGGCTGGACGCGGGCACGGCGGCGTTCTGTTGGACCTGCGAGAAAGCCTATTTCAGTCGAGGGCCGAACTAACTCAGAGTTTTAAAATCTGACTTTGAAACACATCGCCTGAGAACTGGGTTGCCGCATAGACCAGAGGCTGTGCAAGTGATTTTCGCCTCTAGTGATTGGCATCGAACTATCGAATAATCGACGAAAAACAAATTGTACAATAGGCACCCAGAGTTGTTAATAATTTTGCACTAGAAACTGACATAGGGCCGGTTGCATATACGCAAATCAAATTTAATCTCTGACTAACTCCATAGTAACGATTGTTATTATTATAGTTACAAGTGTTCTTAATCAGAGATTAAATTTGATTTGCGTTTATGCAACCGGCCCTTAAAGTTACAACAAATCTATATTTAGTACATGAGTTATTATTCGCAACAGATTGATCTTTTTTAACCTCTATAAAAACATCAATGAAGCATGTTCCCGATTTTATGAAGTTTTAAATATACTAGAGACCCTAGTACTTTTATTAAGACAAAACTGATTTTGGCAAATGCCATATCTTCTAAGAAAATAGTGGGCGTCGCTAGTCCTTGCTAAGATAAGACTAATTTTGGCAAATAACATATCCTCTGAGAAAATAGGTGGTGGGTGGGCGGGGCTAGTACCTTTATTAAGATAATACTGATTTTGGCAAATGCTATACCCTCTAAGGGATTTTGCAGTTAAGATCGCCACAATTGAGACAGGGTGGGTGGGCGGGGCTTATGTTTTGCCTTCTTTTTTTTTCTTCTTAATATATGGTCTTCTCTTCACAACAAGAAACTGAAAACATGTTGAAAATGGTAAATTTTGTGCCCACATTTCTTTATAAATTTACTGGAAAAGAAAACTACGTGCATATATTGAGAAAAAACGCAAAATACAAACCCCGCCCACCCACCCTCATCTCAATCGTGACGACTTTCTCTACAAGAATCAAGCATGCGAAATATGTTTTTATCAATGTTTGTATTGATGAGGCTGATACGTGTTTAAACTCCATATTAATTTTAATAATAATGAAAAAACTTTCAGAGTTTAAAAAATATATATTTGTAGTCACTGCTACACGTGTTTCGGTACACAGTACCGTCTTCAGGCAGAAGAGAAACTGGGGTTTTACAGAGCTATTCCTGAATTTATACCTGATTTAACAATGGTGTTTTCAAATTTATGTTAAGTAAGGGAGATTTGTTTATTTCGGTTTGGTCGTTCATTAGTGTATTTAATTTATTGTACCTATTTATTTCCAGACATTCTAACGCGTTTAATTTTGCGCCTTTATTTTCTATGTGTAAAATTTTGAATTCGTCGTTGAAATTATGCTGTTCTTGGATAAGGTGGTTCGCGTACGTAGAATTTGATTTTTTGTTGACAAATACTGATTTATGTTCTTTTATCCTTTCCTCAAATTTTCTCCCTGTTTGTCCGATGTATACTAAGGGGCAGTCACCACAACTTAGCATGTAAACTCCAGAATTCGATTTCTTAGGTGACTTGTCTTTACTATTGTTTATTAATTTATGTAAAGAATTGTTGGTACGGAAGGAAATTTTATAGCCTGCATTTTGCAGTATTTTTGCAGTTTTAATAGAAAGTTTTCCAAAATGAGTTAAAATGTTATATTGATTGGTTTCTTTAATTAAAGGATATATTAATGCTGATGTGATTTTTTTAATTTTCTTTTTTAACATATTATCTATGATCTCGTCCGAATAACCATTGTTTTTAGCTATTATTTTTATTCTCTTAAGTTCGACCTCAAAGTTATTTTCAGATAAGGGGACAGTCAACAATCTGTGTAACATTGATTGATATGCGGCTAATTTGTGACTCCAAGGATGTAAAGACGTTCTATGAATAGTTGTATCTGTATGAGTAGGTTTATGGTAGATATTAAATTCATGGTAACTCTTGTGGTGGCTGATTTGAAGGTCCAGAAAATTGATAGTTTTATTGCTTTCTATTTCTATTGTGAATTTTATTTTTCTATGTAACGAATTTATGTAATTATGTAGCATATCTAATTGCCTACTTGTACCGTTAAAACACACTAAAATATCATCCACATATCTAATCCAGTAAATACAATGTTTAAATAATTTATGTTGTAAAATAGAGGTTTCTAATCTGGCCATAAATATCTCGGACAGCAGAGGGCTCAGACCTTATCCAAGAACAGCATAATTTCACCGACGAATTCAAAATTTTACACATAGAAAATAAAGGCGCAAAATTAAACGCGTTAGAATGTCTGGAAATAAATAGGTAACAATAAATTAAATACACTAATGAACGACCAAACCGAAATAAACAAATCTCCCTTACTTAACATAAATTTGAAAACACCATTGTTAAATCAGGTATAAATTCAGGAATAGCTCTGTAAAACCCCAGTTTCTCTTCTGCCTGAAGACGGTACTGTGTACCGAAACACGTGTAGCAGTGACTACAAATATATATTTTTTAAACTCTGAAAGTTTTTTCATTATTATTAAAATGTTTTTATCATTTTGTTGAACGAAAACTATATATGTCAAACAAAAAAAAGTCAAGAAATAAGCCCCACCCGCCCGTCCCAACCTCAAATGTAATGAATTTTTCATTCGTTGTTGGACCAAGGGGCGGAGTCTAGGTATAAAATCCGTGCTTCTCGACAAAAATTTACCATTTTAAACGTTTTATATATCTAGGGTCTCTAAAATATACTATTTGAGAAATCAGTACCAATATATAGATAACCGTTCGAAATAAATCAATTAATTTATTTATTTAAAAATTCCCCGACCAATGGCTGGTTCATGTGGCAAACTAGTACCCAGGCGACGTAATTAAGAAAAATAAGTAATAATGCGTGCAATTTCTGTTTCCTCACCTGTAACCCACTCTGCTGAAGATTATGCTGTACAGTGCAGTCGTAGTTGGTCTGCGGCTGTTGCGCCGTGCTCACCGGCAACACCGACGGCGGTCTCACCGGTTCGACGGAATTCTGCGAGGCCATATCGCTGGAAATCGACGCCGGCGACTCGAGACCTAATTGAGCAACATCGAGATCGCACTGGCCGTAATGCAAACTGTGCACGGAATTTGTCGTGGAATCGGGAGTGTACACACCCATCGACGGGATATTGTCAGTGGAAGAAGGAGTCGGAGGTGTGTGTTTAATCGAAGGAGTCGTCATCTGCGGCGGCTGCTGTTGCGGTTGCATCTGCTGTTGCGCCTGCTGCTGCTGCTGTTGATGTTGTACCTGTTGCTGTTGCTGCGCCATTTCCGCGACCTCGGCTTTCTGGGAATCGCCACCGTCGGACTTACTCTTGATCGCACTGGGGGGTTTTTCCGGAGGAGCGACTTTTTGGACAGCGCACGAACTCTTCGCCTCGCTTTCGTTGCGAGACTTCCCCTTTTCCTCCTTCTTCGGAGAGGCGTTCTTCTCGCCTTTGCTCTCTTTGTTCGTTTTGCTGCTGCTCTGTTTGGCCTCGTGTCGGTGCGCTTTGAGCTTCTCTTTCTCGCAGCTCGGTTGCTGCTTGGACAGCATGTCCAGGGGAGGGAACTGCAGTGGCATGGGGTAACTGGCGTACTCGCGTTTCGTGGGGTCGTAATAAATGGACTTATCCCACGGGATACTCCACTGCCACTGGTTATACTGAGCTTGCGGCATGTGGTGGTAGTTTTGTGGCGCCGCCATGCCGAAGTCCGTCTTCGCTAGGAGACCTTCAGGGTTCTCCATGTGCACTTTGGTGGGTTTGGGTTTGTCGTGGTGGCGCTTCTCCTCATGTTTCGGTTTAGGTTCGCTCTTGCTACCCGTAGGAGGTTTACAACTCGCTTCCTTCTCCTTCTCTTTGTCTTTTTCTTTTGGCTTGGGCTCGTTCTGCACCACCACGGTTTTGTTTTCTACAATCGGCTCGACTGCTTTGGGGGTTTCGGCTTTAGGCGGCTCGGTTTTTGGCGGCTTCTTCTCCATGATCACCGGTACGTTCTCAGGAGGTGGAGTCGGCGGTTTTTGCTCTACTGGTTGTTTTTCTTCGACCACAGGCGGTTCGGGTTTAGGCGCCGGCTCAGGTTCAACTTCAACCTTAGGTTTTTCTTCCACCGGTTTAGGCGTCGCTGGAGGAGGTGGTGGCTGCTGCACAACAATCTTGTTTCTATCGTCATCGATCTTCTCAATGTCCATGTCAGACGACTTTCGATCGAACTCGATTGGTTGCTCCGCCACCTTTTCGACCTCCGCTACAGCTTCTTCGGTCTTCTGACTAGCTTCCACCGGGTCCGCTTCGACTTTCTCTTCGGGTTTAGGTTGTGGCGGTGAGTCTTCTTGCTTTATCTGATTATTGACAACGACGGGTTTATTAATCTCTAGTATTTCTTTGTGGATGGTTTTAATCTTCTGGCCGTCGATTTCGGTCTCCGATTCCGAGGTCGTCGACGAGTACATCGTGGGCGACTTCGGTTTGTCGGCCACCTTTTCTGGATTCTTCGCTTCCGCCTCCTCCACCTTCTGGAGATCTTTCCTCGCCGCCTCCACTTTCTCCTTAGCCGGACTGGTCTTCGCGGGACTAGTCTTCGGCAACTTATACTTGGTGTTAGGCGAGACTTCGAACGCTTTCGGCGCTAACTCGTCCTTCTCCATCTCGTCGTCCGCCTCCGCACTCGAGTCCTCTTCAGCCGAAATCCTATTAACCTTCTTCTCCTTCTTCTCCCCTTCCTCGTCGTCGCTCTTCTCCGACACCAAACTCTCGCTCTCGCTTTCTCTCTCCTTCAACTTACTCTTTATAATCTCGGGGATCGTCATCTGCTTCTTCGTCTTGCTCTTCACGAACGGCCTCTTCTTCCTCGGCTTCGGGGTCTTGGCGGCCGCGACGGGCGTCGCCCCCTGCACCTTCTCTTCCTCCACAGGACTCTCTTTCTCCTTCTCTTCCACCACCTCCTCTTTTTTCTCCTGTTGCTTCTTCGTCCTCCTCTGCGACCACCTCTCCCCCACGACCTTCTCCTTCGCCCCGACACTCTTCTTCTTCTGCGCTTCCTTCTCCCTCTGCATTCTCGCGATCTCCTCGTCGCACTTCACCAACTTCACTTCCGGTTCGATTTTGAGTTTCTTCTCCACGACTTCCGGTTCGGTGGTTTCGGTGCGTTTGCGCTTGTTGTTTTCGTGGGTTTTCGGTTTGACGTCGGCGAACGTCGTCTCGTTGTACTTGCTAGGCCGAGTTCGTCGCCGTCCGGACGACGTCACCTCCACTTCTTCCTCCTTCTTGGGAACAGGGGCGGGAGTCACGGGAGGTTTGGGTTCGGGTTTGGGGGTTTTGGGGGTCTTAGGTGCCGTGCTGATTTTTCTCTTCCTACCTTTCTTCATCTTGACGCCTTGCTGCGTCTCGATTATGATCTTCTCGGGTTGGGGGACGACGATGTCTGCGGTTTCGGCGGGGGTTGGTTCCTTCTCGCCGTCGGACTTTTCTTCGCGGAAGGGGTTGACGGTGGGGGTGAGTAAGGGGGTCCAGCGCAGGCACTCCACGTCGATTTTGATGCGGGTTTTGCTCTTGGAGACGCGTTCGGCGTGGGTGTCGACTTTGGTCCAGTCGATACAGAGGACGACTTTTTTTCCGGACTCGGACGAGACGCACCGGACGAAGCCGAGGAGTTGTAGCGCTAGAGCTATGTCGTGGCAGTACATCCCGGTTTCTTTACTGATGTCGGTGAGTTTTAACTTGGCGTTGCGGTGTTGGTGTAAGTATTCTAGGACCACGGACTTCCAGTAAGCGTAATAGGAGACCCTACCCAAATCGGATAAGGGTTTTTCCGGGGTGCCTGGTTGTCCCTCTCGCTTCGACAACAAGTAACTGAAATCGATGAGGAACCTCCCGAAACCTTGCCTCTGGTACTGGGGCATGGTCATAATACACGAAACGTTATATTTCTGCTGACAGTGTTTCTCTTTCGAGAAATACCCCACGAGGTGGCATCCTTTCTTATCGTTTTTCGTCAACACGTAAAAAAGGAAGGGCTCCACGTCGTAGTACAGCGTCTTATGGTCAAGGAAAAGCTTAGCGAGAAGGCAGAGATTCTGACAATATATTTTGTTCACGTTTCCGTCCACTTCGAACACTGATAAGTCCCCGCACCGGTAGATTTCGGTGGCCGGAGGATGCCTCCACGTGCACTTATCCTGGTGGCGCTCCAGCACCGCCTTGCTCTTCGTGTACTTGAGACAGAACTCGCACAGGAAGAGCTTCGGCAGTCTGGCGTACTCCTGAGGGAACGGACTCGAGTACCACGTCTGGATCTCGTACTTGCCGAACTCTATGGCGGCCGGGCAGCGTCCTTGGGCGGACATCGCCAGAGACGGCGACGTGACGAAAGCGCCGCCTGGGGGCAGCGCGTTCGCCTTCTCTCTCGTCTCCTTGAACAGGTCCACGTCCTTCTGGGTGACCCCTGGGGGCAGCTGCGGCGGCTTCACCTCGTCTGGAACAAAGAGAGGGCAATTTTAGTCGGGCGTTTAGCGGATCGGCACCCACCATAACCGGTTGATTAGATGATCACATGCTAGTTCTATCACCTAATTCTGTTCGGTATTTTTTGTTGTATGAGAAAACGCAATGTTATTTTATTCTAACTGATTAGTTAAAAGCATTACGGTCACTTCCTGAGCTAGCCAATCAGACAAGTAATCTCAGAATGTGTTCAATGTAAGGTGCAAGCGAGCCGGGGTCTTGTAGAGAGATTTTTCACTTGTTTGTGGATTGCGTGTCACCATTACAAGTGAAGAATCTCTCGGTGCTCAAAATAATAAGACTACCACACCAAGTAACATGCGGTCAGCTTCGAAATAGGGTCATTCCATCTCAAATCGGCGATCATTAATAGTGATATTAAGAACGTACGGAGGAGCGGCATTTTCTAGCTGAAAATGTTGAAAATAAGGTGGTTATTTGCGTTGGTGCACAATTACGAAACAAAGAGTTTTCTATAAATGTATTAAAGTAAGTGGAAATACATGACTATACATAAATCGATACGTAATTACGAATATTTTAAACGGATAATGCCAACCTAATTCTTTGTAAACATCGCTTTGAAAATTACAAGTTGCGAATAATTATTGAGGGAATCTTTGAGCTATTCGTGGAGACCATTAAAGTTTAAATAACCAAGTTAATCGATAAAACGTCATGAATCTAAAATGAAACAGCGACACTATTCTTTAAAAGCATACAAGTTTATTATTTATCTAGTGACAGTTGGACACTGTGACAGAGATGGCAGCACTGCCACTTCTGTCAAATCTTGACAAACTAGATGATGGAAAGAAAAACCCTGACATTAAACGATTTACACTCTCTCTATAATTGTTGCACAAATAATGGTCAAGGTGTTAGATTGTAGCAAGAAAATGGTCTAAAATAGCATCACATATAATTTTGATCTTAATATGTGTCAAATTGGACACTAATGCAAGGAATAATATGCGTTTGATAAAAATAATCGATCTTATATTAACTAAATCGAGTCCAAGGATATGAGCAAAACACGCAACAGGTCATGATATGCACGTAATTACACCAGATGAACAACAATAAAGAACAATTTTATTATTACACACATTTAAAATTTATGTACGTGTTTAAGTAATGGCTTAATCTAGTTGTCTCACAGCGGGAACATATATTTAACCAGAATCCTATTAATGTTAAACTCGTTGACTTTCATGAGGCGAGGTTCGTAATTTTTAAATTCGTAGTACATGTCGAGTTAACATTGCACACTGATTAGGGATGCTGGACTAATGCAAAAATCGTTTTAAATTTGTACCCAATATAAAATACTGAAGTAAACAAAACAATTGCAAGTACTTACAGGTACAAAAGCGACAACTTTTCCGATAGTTGTATAATCGACACTTAACTTTATTCGAAATCTGTGTATTATCACATATACTGATTTCTGAAAAAAACATGACGTTTCCATGTGGTTCACTGGAGTGCAATTAATTTAACTATTATTGTTGACACTAATTGTTGAATACTACATCACCATTACATGATTATCATGACAAAACTGTAAATACTAGCTGTTCTGTAAATTTCACCTAAATTGGTACTAGTTCGCACAAAAAGTGACATCGAAATTATTTGTAACCAATCTTCAAAGAAATGTTGACAATGTGTTTTATTTGTTGATGAAAAAACGTGAAAAACGACGAAAGAATACTTTTATTGGTGATTAAATATTTTTAGCGCGCTCTTAACGCTTTATTTTTGGTAATACTACACCTAGCAGACATTTAAAACGACCAAGGTATCGAAAATCAGTATATTTATGTTATTTCGACAGAGTTTCCCTCGCTTCTGAAGTACCATAAAACATATCCAGCCTTTTAGAAAAATAACAAAATTTGAATTTTATTTTTATCAACTTTCAATGGATGTGCTTAATTTTTTAATAGCTCATTAAACACAAATCTAGTAGGTATGTGTCAAGATGATTTGACAAATTATGCATAAATTGATAATTACAAAATGTAATGAGGTCCCAGGGGAAGGGATTACTGAAAATTATTAGTAATAATTAAACAGTTCTGTTTTATGACAAAAAAAATTATTTATACTTGTACCCTTTGACAGTAACAACAAACTTAACCTACTAGATTTTTAATGAATAAAACCACAATGACAAAATTCAGACTTAAAACCTTAATAGTGCTGTTCTTAGTAGAACAATCACTTCGCTTTACTGCCTGTTGTCAAAATTGGATGGTCCTCAGCGACCTTTAATTTAAATCATAATTTGTTATTAATTATTATTAAAATGTCATAACCCAACTTTCTCGAGCGGTTAAAAGTGGAAAGTCTGGCAATAGCACACAAAATATCTCAGAATTCTATTGCCAACTTAAACACTATTTGTTGATCATACTACTGCCATACTTTTAACACAAATTACCACTAAAAAAACCAAACGTAGACAAAACAAATACTAGAAATTTTAATAAAACGGAATAGTAGCATTGGAAACCGCAAATATGAACAATAATTGAGTTTAAAACGTCAACGCTTGGTTGGCAACACTGACGCGCGCCTACTACGTTTATTGCGGTTTTAAATCGGCAGCATAAAGTCGGGTATTTTTAGAAGCCCGGTGAGCTTATCATAATGAAAGCGTAAAAAGAATTAATTTTGACAAAGTGATAAGAGTTTACATACAAACTGTTACGTAAATTTTATACCTCTTTTACGAGTGCACGAGTCTAAATGCATGTTGTTATCACAAACAGCGAACTATTTTACAACTTGGAAAATTGCATACATAAAATTAACAACGTTTTGGTTGTTTCAAAGTGTATTATTCACTGGAAAACGTCTTCAGGATGATTTTGGAATCGAAATGAGCAACTTTGTTCTAATGTAAGTGAAAATAAATCCTTTGATGTTTAATGGGTTTCACTAATGGGAATGAAAAATTAGATTAAATACCAGACTACAATAGACTAGAGTAGACTACACCAGACTACTCTGGGTTCCAGTTTGACTTGGCAGCGTATAAAACTCGTAATTATCCAAAAGCTACCGATTTCTGGAGAAGTTGATCGAATTTTAGGCAAATTATCAATAAGTTTTTGTCATTCGGCTCCTATTCGTGTTAAAATTTGACTTTTATAGTATTTCTTCAAATTTCATACTTTTAAAATTGTGTTTTTTTATGTTTTATCTATTCAAAATTTTATTTTAGTTTTTTAACTCTAATATAACCGAATCCATAAATGCAGAAAAGGAAACTTTAAAAATGTGAATATTGAAGACAAAATCGACATACAACGAAATTGTGGTTATTAAAATGCGATTTTTATTTTTTTAAATTCGTTGTTGCTCGATTTTTTTCTGAATTTTCAATTTCTAAATTTTAATTTTTCTTTTTCTGCTATTTATTGCATCATATTTTATTAGAATCTACTTCAAGTTTTGCTTTAGATTTTGTACTGATTCCAGCAACGTAACTGTAATTTACTGATAACAAAAACTTTATAATCTGTGAAATCGGTGTTTTTTTTTGGATAATCGACACCGCCGCCGCGAATTCTCCCATGAAAATCCGCTGCTTGCGGGTTTCGTACGCTGCCGAGTCAAAACGGAACGGACTTTAGTCTAGAGAGTGTGAACTTATTTCCCGTACAAGTAAGCGGAGGAATGAAGCACTCGTCGAAGCACTACATCTCAACAAAAACAACAACACTTCACTGTTGGAAGAAATGTTCGGTCCGATTAGACTGAATGAGGAGCGTATGCAACCTACCGTCGATCACAAAAGCACAAACTCCATAAATCAGCTGACTGAAACAGCTCGTGTCCATGGCAACGGTTCCTGAAGTATTAAAATCGGAGTAACCCCTCGCAACTGAACATTACGAGTCGCAACGAGCGCGTTTCGATGTACAAAAATTCGCGACGTCTCTCCAACTGACCTATTTAATCAATATGAAATAATGATCGTGCCACTCCAAACTAATCACAACATAAACAAACCAATGACTCACCGATAAAATTTCACGAATCACCTGAAAAGCGCTTTGAGATGGAATGACCCCGTAGTACTCACTTAAGCGATTAATAAAAAAAAATAATAATGATAATAATAATAAAGTAACAAAGACTGGGCACGGGATCCGACGGGACTCGGGACTCCGGGACTCAAGAAATGATACGTGTGGTGGTGAGATATGGCAGAGAGGTACGGATTTCCGATCTTACCGGTCTGATTGTTGGTAGTAATCGGCGTCGGCGTCACCGACATAGCATGATGGTTTGTCTGTGTGGCCTCTGCAATAAGATTGCGTTTTTTCATTCGACCCTCCTCGATCGAATTTTGTCCGAACCCGACCGTACCCAACCCTCCGTCGCTTTTAATTTTCCTTCTCTCGAGCTCGTGGCGTTTCGAATTAACCGCCGTCTTAACGAGGTTAGAAGGCGTCATCGTGGTGGTGGTGGTGGTCTGGTGAATGCTATCTTGTAAAGAGGAAGAACAAGGAGTAAAGGCGGAAGACGCAACGGGAGGACATTTCACTTTCTTGGGCTGCTCGGGAGGGGCGGGGGAGGGGTTCGAGCGTTTGCGGCCCTTCTCGTCCTCGTCCTCGGGGTTCTTCGGCCGCCGGTTCGGGTTGTAGTTGGGGGCGGCGCGGCTCGAGCGGTTCTCGGTGGCGGCGGCGAACAGGTGACTCAGTCCGTCGAACAGCCCCCGCAGCTGGCCGCAGCCGGGTTTCGTCTTGTCGCTGGAGTTGCTCGAGCTCTTCTCCTCGACCAACGACGGAAAGAAGCTCTTGCTGCTGCCGCCGTCGAACGAGAACGTCTGGTTCTTGAAGCTCTCGAACGTGAGCGGCTCGCCGCTGGCGAGCTCGCGCCTCTTCGCCTCCGCCGCCGCCACCGCGAAGCCCCACGGCTTGTCCTTGTCCATCGTGATGCCGCTTATGCTCCCGAACGTCTCCATCTTCTTCGTGTTGCTCGTGAATATGCTCGGGATCTTGATGCTGCCGCTGTTCGACGGCTCCACCGACGAGTCGGTGTCGGAGTCGCTGCTGCCGCCGCTGCACTCCGAACTCGAGCTCGGCTTCTTCTTCTTCGCCGCCGCCGCCGCCTCGACTTTGACTTTCTTTGTCGTCGGTTTTTGTTTGCTCTTTTCCTGCTGCTTTTTGTTGAACGCTGACGATCTGAAGAACTTTTGTTTCTCTTTGGACATTCGGTCGGAGGTTTCTAGGCGGTCTGTGTTGTTGTTGTTGTTGTTGTTGATTGTGGTGGTGGTGGAGGGATGGACATGGGAGGCTGGAGTTTGGAGATGATGATGTGAAGTGGTGGGGGATGGCGTACCCTCTATGTCGCTGTCGCTGTTATCGTCGTCACTGTCAAACGCCTGTGGGGTCGGTGGTATCCGGCTCTTACGGTTACCCTTCGATGTCGGTGTCGTCGATAACGCGGTGCCGCTCGACGGGGTGCTGCCATCTTTCGACCTGAAAACAGACAAAGATGACTCTGACTGTGGAAACACGTACTGATTTACGTTATTATATCGTTTTTAGTTAGTAGTAATCAATCCGATGCGAGGTTCTTGATTTTTTTTTTTATTTGTAATCTAGTCACCCCAGACTTGACAATTTTTAATTAAAAAAAAAATACATACAATTTTAAGTTTAATTAGCACGTAATTCGCTTGTTTCTTAAAAATGTGCATTATTGTCATGAATTCAAAATTTTACAACATTATCTGAATGATTCTTGTATGATTCTCACTTTTAGGTTTTCATTTGCCCCACCGATTGTTTAAAAATAGTGTTTTTCAAAGTCCAAGTCGGGAAAAAGAAATAATCTACAGGTGCCAAATCAGGTGATCGAGATGGATAGATGCGTCTGTGTGAGACCTACAAGTGTCATAAAATTCCTTAGAAAGTTTTAACTTGTTTGAGCTGTATGAGCTGTTGCGCCGTCATGCTGAGAATATTCACTCTGTCATGATAGATCAATAATAGTATAGGGTGTCATTAACAAAAAGTTGAACGTGGTGGACAAAAACAAATGAACATCAAATATTAATTCGAAATTTCGAACTTATTTGAGGTGTATGAGCTGTTGCACTGTCATGTTGAAAATATCCATTCTGCAATTCTTTAGGATCAAGCTGGTCAATAAATTCTTGCATCACATTTTTCTCGAGATGAAAATTCTGCTTCCGTACCAAAACACACCTTGATTTCTTATAACAATGGTGACTGGAATCCACGTTTTTTTTTGACATTATATAACCATAGCAACCAATAGTGCATTATTATTAATAAAACACGCTGTTATTTTTCATTAATAAATAAACCAAAAAAAAAAAAACATTTAATAAGACATTTATAAATTATAAACAAAAACAAAATCAACAAAAACACTGGAGATGTTCAAAATTCTTGCCTTGTTCGTATAAGTAAGCTCATAATGTTTCCAAATTTTATAATTTTTTGTAAAAGTCATTAGTACTTGCCAAGATAAAACTGATTTGGCAAGTCTAAGAAAAGAGAGGGTGGGTGGGCGGGCCTAGTATATGTTAAGATAAGGCTGATTTTGGCAAATGACATACCCTAAAAGAAACGAGAGGGTGGGTGGGCGGGGCTAGTACCTACTAAGATAGGAGTGATTTTGGCAAATGAGATGTCCTATCAGAAAAGAGAGGGCGGGTGGGCGGGGCTAATACCTGATAAGACCGATTTTGGCAAATAACTTTTTTTACTATTTTTCCCCGACTCACCAGTTGATTGTCAAGAGCGTAGCGGAGAGTTAATCCGCCATTGTCCAGACACCCGGTATATCAGGACAAATAGTCCAAAGTCATTAAGTTTCAAAGCAAAATTTTTAAAATTTCTATTTGTTATTTTCGAAAAATGAGAGGAATTTTCGAAGCCGTAAACAAATTCTGGAGGTAGAAATCAACAAAAGAAATTATTTTAGGAGTTATCGAAAGTACTTGGAAAAACGTCAAAAATTTGATAACGTGAGGGAACGAAAAAAAACTAAGATTTTCGAGGAGTTCTTTAATCTTCAAAAAAATACAAGAATTATACGATTTTCAAAATATTCGGGTTCAACGTACAATTTTGAAAATATCTCAAAAATTGTCATATTTCATTTTGATAATTCTGTAAAAATGGAATGAATATTCAAATAAATGAAGCCGAAAAAAACTACCAGAGGTCGAAATCAACTAAGAAAACTATTGGGAATTTTTGAAAAGTGCTTCGAAACAGCTCAAAAATTTGAGAACTGGAATGACTGCAAAAATTAAGCTTTTCGAAAATCTTCAAAAAATTCTGGTACTTTTATTAAGGACTATTTAGTGCATCTACTAGGGAAAATACTTCAAAGTCGAGAGGGCGATAGGTTTGCAAAATTTTCAGACTCAAAAGTAAAATTTTTAAAATATATCAAAAATTGTTACGTATATGTATTTATTTCATTTTGTCGAATTTGGAAAAATTTTGACGAATTTTCAAAGAAATGAAACATTAAAAAGCTAGTTCCCAATGAACTAAGGAAACTATTTTGGTAATTTTCGAAGAACCTTGAAAACAGGTAAAAATTTGATAGAGCAGTTTGAAAAAAAAATTAAGTTTTTCGAGAAATTGCCCAAAAATCTTCAAAAAATTCAGGGAGACGGTTTTCGATAAGTTTTTGACTAAAAAAATGTTCACGTAAGTCGCCTGTGATTTGTCATAATTTTATTTTTCCCACAATTTTATTGGACGAAATTTTCTGAGGGAAATAGTCAAAAAAATTCTGGGAGACGGCTTTCGATGGAAAAAAAATTCGTCTTTGGGCAGGAATGATGAATCTACTAGGGAAAATACTCAAAGTGGTGATGGGTTTTCACAATTTTCAGATTAAACAGTACAAAATTTTTTTATATTTATTTCATTTTGGCGAATTTGGAAAAATTGTACGAATTTTCAAAGAAAGGAAACATTAAAACGCGAGTTTCCAACGAACTAAGGAAACTATTTTGGTGTAAAAATTTGATAAAGGAGAAGTTTGAGAAAAAAGTCAAGTTTTTTTTGACCAAAAATCTCCAGTAATAAGATCCTGAGATTGAGAAAACTTACTAGTACATGTAAAGATAAAACTTATTTTGGCAAATGACAAATTTTGAGAAAATACGGGTCGGGTGGGCGGGGCTAGGCACTTGGTAAGATAAGAATGACTCTGCCTCTAGTAAACTTGTAAAAACTTGTTAAATTTAAAATTCTACAGTTGATGAAATAGAATGTATAATACAAAAAGTTTCCTGAAATAAGTCTTATCCTAGCAAGTACTAGCCCCACCCACCCACCCTTTACTTTCTTAGAGGGTATATTATTTGCCAAAATCAGTCTTATCTTACCAAGTACTAGCCCCGCCCACCCGCCCCCTATTTTCTCATAGGATATGTCATCTGCCAAAATAAGACTTATGTAAGCAAGTACTAGCCCCGTCCACTCGCCCTTTACTTTCTTAGAGATTAGTACTTGCTAAGATAAATCTTATTTTGGCAAATAACATATCCTCTGAGAAAACAGGGGCGGGTGGGTGGGGCTAGTACTTGCTGAGATAAGACTGATTTTGGCAAACGCCATATTCTCTGAAAAAATAGAGGGTGGGTGGGCGGGGCTAAGCACTTGGTAAGATAAGACTCTGTCCCTATTAAACTTGTAAAAACTTGTAAAATTTAAAAGGCTATAGTTGATGAAACAGAATGTATAATAAAAAACCTTTGCTGAAATAAGTCTTATCCTAGCAAGTACTAGCCCCGCCCACCCGCCCCCTATTTTCTCATAGGATATGTCATATGCCAAAATAAGAGTTTTGTAAGCAAGTACTAGTCCCGCCCGCTCGTCCTTTATTTTCTCAGAGGGTAGTACTTGTTAGTACTTGCTAAGATAAGTCTAAACGATAATTTATTATCAATTTTTCGAGTCAGCGCAGCGAACGAGGGAAATTGGAAAAATTATCGCCAAGTTTTCGAGCTCGAAGGGTCTTTTGGCAGACTATTTCTTGAAGAAAATTTCCCTTATGGCCTTATGCTAATTTTTAATACATAAAATTGTAAACACTCATAATTAAAAACCAAAAACGCTCTATCCGTATTTTCGTCGTCATCACAACACGCGAAACAAGTCAGCAAAAATTATAAATTCAACAAAATTTAGTATGTTTTCATTGGTCCATGCGGGAAAATGTTCGCTTGAAACTATGCTATCATTGGTTGATGCAGGGAACTTATCGATCGATAAGTTTTTGACTAAAAAATGTTCACGTTCTCACAATTTTATTGGACGAAATTTTCTGAGGGAAATAGTCAAAAAAACTCTGGGAGACGGCTTTCGATGAGCTAAATCGAAAAACAAGCTCACAGGAGAATAGCAAAAATCCAGAAAAAATAGTTGTACTTTTATTAAGGACATCTTTAGTGCTATTCTGAAACAACTGGGTGGCCAAAATTGATGAAAAAAAAAAAAAAATCGTCTTTGGGCAGGAATAATTAATCTATTGCGGAAAATACTCCATTGATACGGTGATGGGTTTTCAAAATTTGCAGATTAAAAAGTACAAAAAAAAGCTATATTTATTTCACTTTGGCGAATTTGGAAAAATGGTATCGATTTTCAAAGAAATAAAGCCGTAAAAAACCACTAGAGGTCGAAATAAACAAAGGAAACTATTTTGGTAATTTTCGAAACTGCTTGAAAATAGATCCAAAATTTGGGGGATTGAAAAAATTAAGCTTTTCGAAAAATTGCTCAAAAAATTCCGAAAGAAACTCAAACTAACTCTGACGGGTACAAGAACGTGTGACTTGGTATAAATACAAATTCAAAATGGACCTAAATTCGACAAAGCCCTTACCTCCAACTTGATTCTACACACCACGAAAATTTAATACCAAATTTAAGATACCAGAGACCCTCTAGTCCATTAGTAACTCGAAATAATATTTTAACAATTGCTTCCGGTTCTTGTTCAAGTTCTAAAATAATTTACAGTAATTGTGTTTTCATGGTAGTTTCATTGATATAAGTAGGCTACCCCACCATTTTAGGATTTAAAAGATGCAACAGATAAACAAACACTACCAAAACAATAGACCCCATTGTGCCAATTTTTAGCACAAAACACAAACTGTTCCACTTTTCTTCCGTATCACCGATTTCTTCCGTACGAGTTATCTCTACACCACAACCACAAACAATTCTCGAAACACCACATTTTCAAACCGGACGCAACATTACGAAACGAGAAAAAAAAAACGATATTTGTACGTCGAACTTACTTTTGGTTCTTCTCTTTAATCTTCTCCCTGACCTTATCGATCTTTTTCTTAACGTTACTGCTGGCATCCGCTTTTTTCGTCTTATCATGATGTCCCAGACAGTGCCTACACCTCCACGGGCACTTGGGTTTCTTCTCGGCAGGCGGATCCAGACAGTCCATATGGTAATTCCTCTCGCAACTGCAACAGCACAGCAGACACGTCGACACCCCCGTGTTGCCTGCAACCGAAAAATAACATCGAAAACGGTTAACGTGTGGAAGTGTTGAAAAGTGTAACTACAACCACAGCCAGCTGAGTAACAGAACAAAAGCATATTTAGCCCCAATGTTAGGACACCGACGTTGTCAAACCCCAGATGAACTAATTTTGTGGCATAAAGCTCGCGATTTATAGTAGTTGAAACACTATAGTAAAATTGGTGTTAGTTTGTTCGTCCGTACCACAACCGTCGCAGGTTTTGCAGTCCTCGCAGAACCATTTGCCTCCCTTGGAAAGAAGGGTGGCCAACTCCGGTCCCGCCGAAGTACATGTCAGGTGCACCAGGGATCCGCATTCCGAACAGGCGCTGAGCTTCTCCGGGGCGCCGTTGCGGTTCTTGGACTCGGTGCCGAGGCATTCGGTGCAGATTGGCAAGGGGGCGGGGGTCTGCAAAAGATAGTATTATTAGTAAAGAACACGAAAGTTCTACATTCTACAAGTTCTAATATTGGAATTTTTCTTTTACTTTAAGTGTCGCAAAAAACAGTTTCTATCAAAACTTTAAATCATTGTAGAATAATCTCAGGTAATGAACACAGAGAAATGACTGGTTAGTGTTACAAATGACTTTTTTTGGTTAGGATGGGTTATTCTTTGGAGCAAAACACGTTCATCGTATCATACATCAAACTGCAGCTTTTTTCATATTCTAGAGCGCAGAGACCAGTTCAATCAACTAAAAAAATATGGCTGAGAAATATCGTAAAAAAGCACCATTGTATGTTTCCTTTTCAAGTTTTTTGAGTCATAACCATCATAGAATCGCTTGAAAATTCGCACAGGGATAAAACATCACTTTTTACAGGGCGCAGAGTCATTAAATGTTTGTTAGTGGTACAATTTGTTTAAATAATGTGTTTATTAAAATCAAAATATGCCACAAATTAATGCAAAATACGTCGAATAATTTTAACAGGAATATCAGAGGAAAATTAATGATCTATTGGTTAGCAGAGTTTTTAACAAAAACTAACAATTTTAGAAAAAAATGGGTATCAATTCGACAGAATTTGAGCAGTTAGTTCAATACTTTGTCGATAGGAGCGCCACTAAAATTTACGGAAGCGACTTTCCAGGTAAAACCCTTATCGCCTGCTCTACCATAAGCTGATTGTTAGAGTTCTCGGCTGATTTTTCTAATTTATGGCAAGGAACTCAGTTTTATAACAAGCCGCCAGGACCGGCTGTAGTAATCTATTGTTAAGGAAATTAACTTTTACGCAATGAGGTACTATCATAAAACCGAATTAAAACTGGGGAACTATAATATTTTTACTCCACTCAGGATCCTGAATTCAATACACATGATTACTAAAAATTCATTGTAATATTATTGTTAATATATATTTTGCTTTGTTAATTAATAAAACTAATAAACATATTTATAATAATAATAAAAAATATATAAAATACAGCTTTTGTTTAACACGTATAAGTAGCTAAGTGTATCTACTACTTATCCCAGAAAGGAGGTGTTTTAAAAAAGCCCTACGCCCAGTAACTTCTCCCTTCATTGTTTACTAGAAAAAAGTGTTCATATATATTTTCATTTGCCGAGAGATCATTTTCAAAATATATTTATAATAAAAATATGCAAGTCTTGGTGATGAAAAATGTACTCCTAATAAATTATTAAAGTACATAAAAAAATAGAAACAAATTTGATTTATTTTAAAAAAATCTCTCGCAAAGGCAGGTTCCTCTTTCTTCTTGAATCAATTATTTCGGGCAATAATGCGCCAAAGTAAAATCTGCCAAGTTTATCTGCAATCTTTTTACATATATTTCTTCGTCTTTATAAATTTTTTCTATATTTATTCCTTTGGGTGTCCACACAACAGAATAAACTTGTGAAATACCCGTAACAAGCACTTGTCCCTGGACTTGAAAGTAGTAATCATGATTTTTTTTTTAGTTTCAATTCTCTGTCTGTCAATGTCCAAAATTTGATTATTTTTTTTGTAACCGCTTCTTCGGGAGACAAATCTTGCGATTTTGAAGGGCATTTAATTTCGACTAATGCACTCCTATCCTCTAGAACCCTGTCTGGACTAGCAGCCAAGTAAGGAAATTGTTTTGAAATAAACAAGCCACACCGTTCAGTTTTTATATTTTTATTTATTTCAAAACACTTGACAGCTTTTTCCTCACTTTGCTGTCCATAGTATGTATGACTTTTACCTCTAAATGTGCTGTACAACAGAGACTCCACAGTTTTAGCTATTGCTGTAGTCGGTCTAAGTTTGTAAATACGTCCAAAATTTGAAGCCGTAACCCTAATTTCTCTTTCTTTTGCCCAAATGTGCCTGTTGCCTAGTGTCTATTTCAATTTGGTCTAAATTCAAAGATAATTTTCTCAAAAAAACCTCTTTGGCTGTCACAAATGTTTCTACATCCATGACAGGATTTTCTAAAAAAATATTTAAACCATAATCGCAGTCGGGACCAGCATACGTAAATTTTTTTACGACATTTTTTTTTACGAATACTTTGTCTAAAACGAACTTGTTTTATAGACGAACAATATTTTTTTGTTATTAAACCAAGACCGTTTTAATCACATACATCTAAATTGTATAAAATATCATGAGTCTCTTCTTGTGATTTATCATTCCATTCATATTTTTTGGATTCGGATATACAGGGTGACTCAAAAAATTTAATGAATGCGCAAATTTATTTTATTGATTTAATCAGGAACTACAAAACCGAATGCTTTGAAATCTAATGTGAAAAAAAAAACATAATAGGCATGCAGTCGTCACGTTTCCGATAGCGAGGGAAGTACTGTCTAAACTCTTTAGACCAATTTTTTGATTTTCCCATTTTTCCATTTTTCAATTTTTCAATGTTTCAGTTTGGGATTTCTTCACTGTTTCGATTCTTTAATTTTCCTTCCATTTTTAGGTTTTTCAATATTTCAGCTTTGGAATTTTGCAATATTTCGTTTCTTCAATTTTTGAAATATTTGATATTGTGTTTTCTCGGTTTTTAAATTTTTCGATATATTAATTTTTCAGTTTTTAAAGTTTTAGGTTTCTAGATTTCTCACTATCTCGACTTTTCGATTTTTCAGTTCCATGATTTTTCAATTGGTCCAATTTTTAAATTTTAGATTTTTTGTTCTCGATCATTCAATTTTCTGAGTTTTCAGGCCTAGATTTTTTTTGTTGTTCAATTCTTGGATTTTTAAAATGATTGTTTTTTAAATTTTCCTATTTATCAACTTACTGGGATTTCAATGTTTTGATTTTTTGATTGTTCAATTTCTCGATATTTTGAATTCTTAGTTTTAGATGATTTTTTTTCAAAAATTTTCAGTTTTTCAATTTATCAACTTTTCGATATTTCAGTTTTACGATTTTTAAATTTTTTTATTTTTCAGTTTTCAATTTTTGACGTTTCTAAATTTTTCGTTTTTTTAATTTTTCGATTAACTGATTTTTTGATTTTCCCATTTCTCTATTTCTTGATTTTTCAATTCTTTCTTCAATTGTGATTTTTCAATGTTTCGATTTCTGGATTTTTCAATGTTTCAGTTTTGGATTTTTTTACTTTTCCGATTCTTCAATTTTCCTTCCATTTTTCAGTTTTTCAGTATTTCAGTTCTGAGAATTTGCAATGTTTCGGTTCTTCAATTTTTCCATTTTTTGATTTTTCGATTTCTCCGTTTTTCAATTTTTCGATAGGTATTTTAATTTTTCAATTTTTAAGTACCAGATTTTCCGTTAATTTTTTGTTTTCCTTGATGTTTTGATTTCTCGATTATTCAATTTTTCAAGTTCTCGGTTTAATTTTTGGTTTTCCAATTCTTCGATTTTTAAATTGTTTAATTTTTAGATTGTTCAATTTCTCGATTTATAGATTTTTCAGTTTTTCGGTTTACCGATTTTTTTCATTTAAAATGTTTCAACAAGTATAAAAATTCAAGCGTCAGGTAAGGGAATTACTATGCAACAAATCCTTCGAGGAAATTAGTAGCTATTAACTTTGTTTAACTTAATTAATATTTTTTGTAATAATTTACAATATAATTCTTTGTTTCTTTACTTTATATTTATCATGCCTTATTATTGCCTTCTTGTGTTCATTTTATGTATAGTATAGTTACTTAAATAGTATTAAGCTCCCATGTACAAATTGTAGCTTTAGCTAAATACCAGGCAGGGTAAGATTGTGCTATATCAATGAATTATACCTAATTTCAGTTGATTCTCAAGCTATTTAACCGTTTCCGTACATTCTATCGACCCTGTATACATATTTTCCCAGAATATCAATTTAACTTCGCAACTGACATGAATGGAATTCAAATGGAATGTTAAAACGAATGAATCAGTATGTTCGCTACAAAAAACTGTATACCTGCTAATGCCTCTCAATTTCAATGACGCAAACATTATCCATAACCATTAACACTACTCGTCTAAACTAGTCAAAGTAAGAATAAAATGAGATTTGCATTAATGCTTCGTAACGTTCGTAACTTATGGTAGCCTGATTCCCACGCAAAAACTGGCAAACAACTATTTTCCCTCTCGTGCCACATTTTCATAAATTCCACCAACAATCACACAAACATTTTCCAAAAGACCACCCAAAAAATGACAACCGAGATTCTAACGGTACCACCAAAATAAACCAAACGTCACACTACATAAATTACAGCCGAATAATTCTCGAACTGTAATGCACCACGTCAATCCGACGTTGGTTTTCCATTGTGAACGGCGATGATCGACAAAAGCGCATCGAAACGTCAAAGACACGTGGTGCAGACTCCACCCAACGCGGATGCGATTGGTCGCAGAGGCGTCCGAAAAGGGTCCCCGCACACGCTTTTTATAAACGCTGTATTTTTAAAATCGCGCGTGGGTTCCTGAGTTATGATCCTGTTCTACGACAACAATTATTGCGTGAAGAAGGACGGAACGGGGGGTTTATGGGTCGAGGAGTGGATTGTCGGCGAGGGAGGGTTTTGGGGATTTTTGTGTTCGTGGATTTTAGGGGCGACGTGCGCCGCTGGGAGGTCATATATACAGCGCGTTTATTTTGACGGGGTGAGATTTTACATGAATAATACAGGTTCTACGAATTTTGCGAACTGTATTTTTTGTAAAAAAAAAAAACAGCTCACTGTACTAAAAAAAATTATAGGTGGAAATCGTCCCATCAATTATCCACCTAGATGAATCACATGATTTAACTGCTTTAGACTTGTTTTTGAGGTTTTATTTAAAAAAACAATATGATATTCACCAACACATTGAAAATTTCGAAGAACTTCAACACAGAATAAGTGAAAAAAATGTTGAAATTAATAACACTCCACAATTGTCTCCTAATTTATTAATTAAATAAACACGCTAACAAACGAAATTAATTTT